CAAATTGTGAAATTTTTTGTTCTAGTTCTGTGAAAAATGCCAGTGGTAGTTTGATAGGGATTGCATTGAATCTGTAGATTGCTTTGGGTAGTAGAGTCATTTTCACAATGTTGATTCTTCCAATCCAAGAACATGGTATATCTTTCCATCTATTTGTATCATCTTTAATTTCTTTCATCAGTGTCTTATAATTTTCTGCATACAGTTCTTTTGTTTCCTTAGGTAGGTTTATTCCTAGATATTTTATTCTTTTTGTTGCAATGGTAAATGGGAGTGTTTTCTTGATTTCACCTTCAGATTTTTCATCATTAGTGTATAGGAATGCCAGAGATTTCTGTGCATTAATTTTGTATCCTGCTACTTTACCAAATTCATTGATTAGCTCTAGTAGTTTTCTGGTAGCATCTTTAGGATTCTCTATGTATAGTATCATGTCATCTGCAAACAGTGACAGCTTTACTTCTTCTTTTCTGATTTGGATTCCTCTTATTTCCTTTTCTTCTCTGATTGCTGTGGCTAAAACTTCCAAAACTATGTTGAATAAGAGTGGTGAGAGTGGGCAACCTTGTCTTGTTCCTGATCTTAGTGGAAATGCTTTCAGTTTTTCACCATTGAGGACGATGTTTGCTGTGGGTTTGTCATATATGGCCTTTATTATGTTGAGGAAAGTTCCCTCTATGCCCACTTTCTGCAGGGTTTTTATCATAAATCGGTGCTGAATTTTGTCGAAAGCTTTTTCTGCATCTATTGAGATGATCATATGGTTTTCTCCTTCAATTTGTTAATATGGTGTATCACGTTGATTGATTTGCATATATTGAAGAATCCTCGCATTCCTGGAATAAACCCCACTTGATCATGGTGTATGGTCCGTTTAATGTGCTGTTGGATTCTGTTTGCTAGTATTTTGTTGAGGATTTTTGCATCTATGTTCATCAGTGATATTGGCCTGTAGTTTTCTTTCTTTGTGACGTCCTTGTCTGGTTTTGGTATCAGGGTGATGGTGGCCTCGTAGAATGAGTTTGGGAGTGTTCGTCCCTCTGCTATATTTTGGAAGAGTTTGAGAAGGATAAGTGATAGCTCTTCTCTAAATGTTTGATAGAATTCGCCTGTGAAGCCATCTGGTCCCGGGCTTCTGTTTTTTGGAAGATTTTTAATCGCAGTTTCAATTTCAGTGCTTGTGATTGGTCTGTTCATATTTTCTATTTCTTCCTGATTCAGCGTTGGCAGGTTATGCATTTCTAAGAATTTGTCCATTTCTCCCAGGTTGTCCCTTTTATTGGCATAGAGTTGCTTGTAGTAATCTCTCATGATCTTTTGTATTTCTGCAGTGTCAGTTGTTACTTCTCCTTTTTCATTTCTAATTCTATTGATTTGAGTCTTCTCCGTTTTTTTCTTGATGAGTCTGGCTAATGCTTTATCAATTTTGTTTATCTTCTCAAAGAACCAGCTTTTAGTTTTATTGATCTTTGCTATCGTTTCCTTCATTTCTTTTTCATTTATTTCTGATCTGATTTTTATGATTTCTTTCCTTCTGCTAACTTCAGGGTTTTTTTGTTCTTCTTTCTCTAATTGCTTTAGGTGCAAGGTTAGGTTGTTTATTCGAGATGTTTCCTGTTTCTTAAGGTAGGATTGTATTGCTATAAACTTCCCTCTTAGAACTGCTTTTGCTGCATCCCATAGATTTTGGGCCGTTGTGTCTCCATTGTCATTTGTTTCTAGGTATTTTTTGATTTCCTCTTTGATTTCTTCAGTGATCACTTCATTAGTAAGTAGTGTATTGTTTAGCCTCCATGTGTTTGTATTTTTTACAGATCTTTTCCTGTAATTGATATCTAGTCTCATAGCCTTGTGGTCAGAAAAGATACTTGATACAATTTTCTTAAATTTACCAAGGCTTGATTTGTGACCCAAGATATGATCTATCCTGGAGAATGTTCCATGAGCACTTGAGAAAAATGTGTATTCTGTTGTTTTTGGATGGAATGTCCTATAAATATGAATTAAGTCCATCTTTTTAAATGTATCATTTAAAGCTTGTGTTTCCTTATTTATTTTCATTTTGGATGATCTGTCCATTGGTGAAAGTGGGGTGTTAAAGTCCCCTATTATGAATGTGTTACTGTCGATTTCCCCTTTTATGGCTGTTAGTATTTGCCTTATGTATTGAGGTGCTCCTATGTTGGGTGCATAAATATTTACAATTGTTATATCTTCTTCTTGGATCGATCCCTTGATCATCTTGTAGTGTCCTTCTTTGTCTCTTCAAATAGTCTTTATTTTAAAGTCTATTTTGTCTGATATGAGCATTGCTACTCCAGCTTTCTTTTGGTTTCCATTTGCATGAAATATCTTTTTCCATCCCCTTAGTTTCAGTCTGTATGTGTCTCTAGGTCTGAAGTGGGTCTCTTGTAGACAGCAAATATATGGGTCTTGTCTTTTGGTGGGAGCATTTAGTCCATTTACATTTAAGGTAATTATTGATATGTATGTTCCTATTCCCATTTTCTTAATTGTTTGGGGTTCGTTATTGTAGGTCTTTTCCTTCTCTTGTGTTTCTTTTTTAGAGAAGTTCCTTTAGCAATTGTTGTAAAGCTGGTTTGATGGTGCTGAACACTCTCAGCTTTTGCTTGTCTGTAAAGGTTTTAATTTCTCCATCAAATCTGAATGAGATCTTTGCTGGGTAGAGTAATCTTGGTTGCAGGTTTTTCTCCATCATCACTTTAAATATGTCCTGTCAGTCCCTTCTGGCTTGCAGAGTTTCTGCTGAAAAATCAGCTGTTAACCTTATGGGGATTCCCTTGTGTGTTATTTGTTGTTTTTCCCTTGCTGCTTTTAATATGTTTTCTTGTATTTAATTTTTGACAGTTTGATTAATATGTGTCTTGGCGTATTTCTTCTTGGATTTATCCTGTATGGGACTCTCTGTGCTTCCTGGACTTGTGTAACTATTTCCCTTCCCATATTAGGGAAGTTTTCAACTATAATCTCTTCAGATATTTTCTCAGTCCCTTTCTTTTTCTCTTCTTCTTCTGGAACCCCTATAATTCGAATGTTGGTGTGTTTAATGTTGTCCCAGAGGTCTCTGAGACTGTCCTCAGTTCTTTTCATTCTTTTTTCTTTATTCTGCTCTGCAGTAGTTATTTCCACTATTTTATCTTCCAGGTCACTTATCAGTTCTTCTGCCTCAGTTATTCTGCTATTGATCCCATCTAGAGTATTTTTAATTTCATTTATTGTGTTGTTCATCGTTGTTTGTTTCATCTTTAGTTCTTCTAGGTCCTTGTTAAATGTTTCTTGCATTTTGTCTACTCTATTTCCAAGATTTTGGATCATCTTTATTATCATTATTCTGAATTCTTTTTCAGGTAGACTGCCTATTTCCTCTTCATTTGTTAGGTCTGGTGGGTTTTTATCTTGCTCCTTCATCTGCTGTGTTTTTCTGTCTTCTCATTTTGCTTATCTTACTGTGTTTGGGGTCTCCTTTTTGCAGGCTGCAGGTTCGTAGTTCCCGTAGTTCCTGTCTGTCCCCAGTGGCCAAGGTTGGTTCAGTGGCTTGTTTAGGCTTACTGGTGGAGGGGACTAGTGCCTGTGTTCTGGTGGATGAGGCTGGATCTTGTCTTTTTGGTGGGCAGGTCCACGTCTGGTGGTGTGTTTTGGGGTGTCTGTGGACTTATTATGATTTTAGGCAGCCTCTCTGCTAATGGGTGTGGTTGTGTTCCTGTCTTGCTAGTTGTTTGGCATAGGATGTCCAGCACTGTAGCTTGCTGGTCGTTGAGTAAAGCTGGGTGCTGGTGTTGAGATGGAGATCCCTGGGAGATTTTCGCCGTTTGATATTATGTGGAGCTGGGAGGTCTCTTGTGGACCAGTGTCCTGAAGTTGGCTCTCCCACCTCAGAGGCACAGCACTGACTCCTGGCTGCAGCACCAAGAGCCTTTCATCCACACGGCTCAGAATAAAAGGGGGAAAAAGTAGAAAGAAAGAATTAGTAGAAGTAGAAAGAAAGAAGGGAGGGAGGAAGGAGGGAAGGAAAAAAAGAAAGAAGGTAAAGTAAAATAAAATAAAGTAAGATAAAATATAATAAAGTTATTAAAATAAAAAATAATTATTAAGAGAAAAAAAGAAAAAAATTAAAAAAAAAAACGGACGGATAGAACCCTAGGATAAATGGTGGAAGAAAAGCTATACAGACAAAATCTCACACAGAAGCATACACATACACACTCACAAAAAGAGGAAAAGGGGAAAAAATCATAAATCTTGCTCTCAAAGTCCACCTCCTTAATTTGGGATGATTCATTGTCTATTCATGTATTCCACAGATGCAGGGTATATCAAGTTGATTGTGGAGCTTTAATCCGCTGCACCTGAGGCTGCTGGGATTTCCCTTTCTCTTCTTTGTTCTCACAGCTGCCAGGGGCTCAGCTTTGGATTTGGCCCCGCCTCTGCGTGTAGGTCGCCGGAGGGCGTCTGTTCTCCGCTCAGACAGGACGGGGTTAAAGGAGCCGCTGATTCGTGGGCTCTGGCTCACTCAGGCCGGGGAGGAGGGAGGGGCACGGAGTGCGGGGCGGGCCTGCGGCAGCAGAGGCTGGCGTGCAATCTCCCGGGGAAGCCCCTGGATCCTGGGACCCTGGCAGTGGCGGGCTGCACAGGCTCCCCGCAAGGGGGGTGTGGATAGTGACCTGTGCTCGCACCCAGGCTTCTTGGTGGCGGCAGCAGCAGCCTTAGCGTCTCATGCCCGTCCCTGGGGCCTGCGCTTTTAGCCACGGCTCGCGCCCGTCTCTGGAGCTCCTTTAAGCAGCGCTCTTAATCCCCTCTCCTCGCGCACCAGGAAACAAAAGAGGGAAGAAAAAGTCTCTTGCCTTTTCGGCAGGTCCAGACTTTTCCCCGGAATCCCTCCCGGCCAGCCGTGGTGCACTAACCCCCTGCAGGCTGTGTTCGCCGCCAACCCCAGTCCTCTCCCAGCGCTCCGACCGAAGCCCGAGCCTCAACTCCCAGCCCCGCCCGCCCCGGCAGGTGAGCAGACAAGCCTCTCGGAGTGGTGAGTGCCGGTCGGCCCTGATCCTCTGTGCGGGAATCTCTCCGCTTTGTCCCCCGCACCCCTGTTGCTGTGCTCTTCTCTGCGGCTTGGAAGCTTTCCCCCTCCGCCAGCCGCAGTCTCTGCCCGCGAAGGGGCTTCCTAGTGTGTAGAAACTTTTCCTCCTTCACAGCTCCCTCCCACTGGTGCAGGTCCCGTCCCTATCCTTTTGTCTCTGTTTATTCTTTTTTCTTTTGCCCTACCCAGGTATGTGGGGAGTTTCTTGCGTTTTGGGAGGTCTGAGGTCTTCTGCCAGCGTTCGTAGGTGTTCTGTAGGAGTTGTTCCACGTGTAGATGTATTTCTGGTGTATCTGTGTGGAGGAAGGTGATCTCCGCGTCTTACTCTTCCGCCATCTTCCCGGAAGCAAAAAACCCCTGTGTTATTTTTATAATGAGAAAAAAGTTGTTTTTAATAGTTAAAAAGTTCAGGAAGGTATATTCCAAAACGTTAACAGCTTTTATTTTCTGGATGGTAGGATTGTGGGTAATTTAAATTTTCTTCTTTGGGCTTTATTTCTTCCTATTTTTATATAATGATAACTGCTATTTTTGTGATAGAGGTGAAACAATTTCACAATAACTGTTATTAAAATTAATTCCACCACTCAGAAAGAAATATTGCCAATATTTTGGTGTGTATCATTTAAGTCTTCTTCCCTATGTCTAGACAGAGTTTTTTTTTTTTTTTTTTTTCAGTACGCGGGCCTCTCACTGTAGTGGCCTCTCCCGTTGCGGAGCACAGGCTCCGGACGCGCAGGCTCAGCAGCCACGGCTCATGGGCCCAGCCGCTCCGCGGCATGTGGGATCTTCCCAGACCGGGGCACGAACCCGCGTCCCCTGCATCGGCAGGCGGACTCTCAACCACTGCGCCACCAGAGAAGCCCTAGACAGAGTTTTTAAAAAATTGTTGTAGTCACACTGTATTGAAGCCTTATTATTATTATTTTTAAATTAATTAATTAATTAATTTTTGGCTGCATTGGGTCTTTGTTGCTGCGCGCGGGCTTTCTCTAGTTGCGGTGAGCGGGGGCTACTCTTCTTTGCGGTGCGCGGGCTTCTCATTGTGGTGGCTTCTCTTGTTGTGGAGCATGGGCTCTAGGGCCCGTGGGCTTCAGTAGTTCGGGCGTCTGGGCTTTGTAGTTGTGTCTCACGGGCTCTAGAGCGCAGACGCGGTAGTTGTGGCACGTGGGCTTAGTTGCTCCGCCGCTCGTGGGATCTTCCCGGACCAGGGCTTGAACCCGTGTCCCCTGCCTTGGCAGGCAGATTCTTAACCACTGTGCCACCAGGAAAGCCATGAAGCTTTATTTTTAAACTTACCCACACATCTTAAACATCTTTCTCCACGATTAAGATTTTGTCCACAAAATCAGTTTAAATGACTCCCTAGTACTCCACTGTACAACTATAACATAGTTTATTTAAACAATTCACTGTTGTTGGACATTTATGTTGTTCATACTATCATCATTGTTAGTAAAACTAATGACTATTTCCTTTGAACAAATTCCTAGATCATTTTTTTTTTTTTGCATGCCCATTTGTAAGGCCTTGTATTCATATTGGAAATCCAAAATATAAGGTTCTGTTGGTAGAATCACCACAATGGGAACTTGAATGAAGTGGGGACCTGAGAGGGAACAGGAGAAAAATATTGTGGTTATGGAGGACCACAAGTCTGGGTTGGGTAATGAGGCCTGTGTAAACTATACCAAGGTAAATACTGGTAAAGCCATGACAGCCTAGGATGAGGCAAAGAGTTATGTTCTTGCTGTGGATGCCTGTACCCGTCATCCAAAATCCAAAATTTCTTCTTGGCTTTGACTCTTTTGCCCAGGCTCTTCACTTGAGTTCCTGATCCAACGCTTAGTCTCGTTGCCGTGTTTTAAATTTCTATTGCTTAGGGCTGCATTGCAATTTGTTTAGGTTGTGTCCTGTGCTTTCTAGGGGACACCACTCATTGTAGTTTGTGAGTTGTACTGTCTGCACCACACAAGGGCACAACTCCAATGCAGTGGTCTTGCTCCTAATACTATTCCCATTCACTTTAGAAGGTTGGTGCTATTATGAATGTAATAGAAACTCTGGATGGAAATTCGGACAAAACAGTTCCTTGAAACTCAAACTATCTAGGTTTCCTACAAATCTTTTTTTTTTTTTTTCATTTGCCTTGGGAACCAGCTGAAATCAGAAGCATTAAGTATAACTGATCTTAAAATACATTAAAGATAGAAAAAAGATCCAAGTACCTGGTGTGCAGTCTAACTGTCCCAAATACTAAAATTTTATGTTCATCCATTATACTTTCCTCTTAGAATAAAAACATCTGAATGTAATAGTAAAGCAGCAGGGACTCACCAAAGAGTGAAGTTATCACCTGCCTGCAGGAGAGGAGACATTTAAAAGCACTGTCTTCCTTGTGACCCTCTCTATTATAAAAGTTTCATGATAAATCCATCCCCAGCTCATGCCTAGGGTGATTTAAATATATGGCAGCAGAGTCTCCGGTGGTCAATTGAGGGATAATGAGTTGTAGAACAACCAAAGTGAACCGAAAAATCTTCTTAGTTCAAGCTTTTTGTTCTTCCTTTTTGAAGAGATGGACACATTAATTGCAAAGGAAAATAACAGATGAAGAGGAAAGGGAGGAAGAGAGGCTAAGTGAAAAGACTGAGTCTAGGCTTTGTGCTTACATCCAAATAAACACCAAGTAGTGTGCTAAAAATTCTGTATAGCGCACAGCATATTCCATGTTGAATGTCCAAATGGAACATTTCTAACATCTTCCAGTGTTGGTCATAAGCAAAGAAGTGTATTTGGCATAAAGAAATATTTGGGTATATTTTGTGAAGTGGGAGATAACAGAAGATTCACCTCTGAGATCTGCCTGTCCCACTATGTATGCGCACACACACACATACACACACGCTCACAGTTGTTATGACTTTCCACCTCTCTATACTTTTAAATATACCAAAGGCCTTGAGGTTGGAAATCTTCCTACCCTTCCCTCTCAGGTCTCCCTTCTCCTCTCTGTGAGTACAATCACCAAGTATAATCAGCTTCAGAATGATGCCTTTCCTTTCAAAATACATGGACAATGATGAAAAATTTATTTATTTATTTATTTTTTTTTTTTAAAGCTTGTTTTTTTTTATTTATTTATTTATTTTTAATGTATTTATTTATTTATTTATGGCTGTGTTGGGTCTTCGTTTCTGTGCGAGGGCTTTCTCTAGTTGTGGCAAGCGGGGGCCACTCTTCATCGCGGTGCGCAGGCCTCTCACTATCGTGGCCTCTCTTGTTGCGGAGCACAGGCTCCAGACGCGCAGGCTCAGTAATTGTGGCTCACGGGCCCAGTTGCTCTGCGGCATGTGGGATCTTCCCAGACCAGGGCTCGAACCCGTGTCCCCTGCATTGGCAGGCAGATTCTGAACCACTGCGCCACCAGGGAAGCCCGAAAAATTTATTTTTCATTTGTGACATTTTATCTGTGAGTAACTTTGAGCACTCATCTTTGTCATATGTTTAGGAGTACTTGGCAATAGGCATCCTCAAGAAAAATAAAGCAGAAGTCTGGAAGCTTGAATATTGAGTATTTTATACTATTTTCTAGACCACAACAAATTCCTATAAGGCAAGGAGAGTGTCTGATTTATGAAAAAAGTATTTCTCTGTTACATATCCTTGGAATCCAAAGAGCCAGGGATTCAAAGTGAAAACATACATATGTTCTCTTAGACTTTATATTCTTAGAGAGTGGAGAGAGAGAGGAAGAAAGGGAGGAAGAAGAAAGAAAAGTAACAAAAATAATAACCCCTTAAGCATTGGAACACAGTAGTTCTTAATAAAAGTCTTTTGTATTTACCACACTCTCTGAATGATTTTAAGATTTTTCTCTTTATCTCTATTTTAATTATGACATGCTTTTGGCATGGTTTTCTTTGAGTTTCTAGTGCTTAGGGTTTATTGAGCTTCCTGGATCTGTGGGTAATGAAATTTGGAAAAATTTCATCCTCATTTCTTTACATATTTTTTCTGCCTCACTCCCTCCTTCAGGGATTCCAGTTACATATATGTTAGGCCTCTTGAAGTTGTCACACAGTTCACAGATGCTCTTTCCTTTTAGTTTTTCCTCTCCGTGTTTCATTTTAAATAGTTCCTATTGCTGTGTCTTTAAGTTCACAAATTCTTCCTTCTGCCATGTCTAATCTGCTGTTAATGCCATCCAGTGTACTTTATATCTCAGACATTGTAGTTTTCATCTCTAGAAGTTTGATTTAGGTCTTCTTTTCTTGGCACGTGATGTTTTGTGCTGTCACTTTTTAAAGACTTATTTTGAAATAATTTTAGACTTAAAAATGAATTCAAAGAAAATTAAGATCCTTTCAGGTCTTGTTTTTAAGCTTTTTTAGACAAGACCAGAGCTTTAGTCTAGGGCTAAAAAAAAAAAAAAGCCCACTACTGAGGCAAAACACTTCTGAGTACTCTACCAAATGCCCCATGAATTATGAGTTTCTCCACTCTGGCTGGTGGGAAGAGGAACTACTTCAGCTCCTGGATGATTTCTGGAGATTATTTCCTCTGATCCTCATGTGCTTCTTTTCTCAGCTGTAGGCACTTTCCTTACTACAGGGCACTAATCAGTACTTAGTGTGAGTACTTGCTCAAGGGCAAGTCCTCTGTAAATCTGTGAAGCTCTCTATGCAGTTTTCTCTTCTCTGGTACTCTGTTCTGTGTACTGTAGCTGCCTTGGCCTCCCTGTATTCCCAGTTCTCCCCAATGGAGGGAGATCTTGGGGTTTTCCTTGGGGTTTTTCCTGGGTTTCCCCTCCCTATGCCAGAGCCAGGTCGTAGAAGACTGAGGTAATTTCAGGACTCATTTCATATGTTTTCCATCTTTCAGGGATCGCTACTCTTCATTGTCTTCTGCCCAATGTCTTGAAAACTATATTTTGCATTTTTGTTTGTTTTTTACTGTGTCACGGCCAGAGCAAAGTCAGTAAATGTAATAAATATTTTTTGAATGAATGAATAAACTCTGTATCCTGTCCTGTGGTGGGAATTATTAAAATGTTTTTACTGAAAATTGGTCTGTTCCTTGGAAAGCTAGATCAGAAGAGAACAGTAGTTCCTAATGGCAAAGAAGCTGGAACTATTTGACCATTTTGTCAGGAAACTTTGCTGTAACAGATGACCTCCAACCATTTAGTTTCCAAAATCCCCGGGGCCTGATGGGTCCAGCTTGGACCCCATGCTCTTCTCTTGGCTTGAGAGTGCAGTGTGCCTTGGTTGACAATCCTATCAAAGCTGCTTACTGTGACAGGAAGGTAAGGCGCCAAAAAGAAAGCAGGGGTACTCTGTCCAAACAAAGGAGATGGAATCTGTGTAGCCAGACAAATAAATGTGTCCTGCCAGGAGTCATTTATGAAGAGGTTTATTGGATTTTTTAGTAATGAAATCTTATTGGCTTATGATACCATGGACTTGCAGGTGAATGACTGCTGATCCCTTTTCATTGTGTTCTAAAACATTTCTAATGATATAATTCTCAGATGATTGATGTTTCATCCTATTATTAGGAGAATTTAGACATATATGCCCTGCTACACACACTTGGCTTCTTTTCTGAACTTCTAAAAATGCTCTTATACCTAACATATTTTGGCAGCAGAATGGCTACAAGATAGGGCAAGCCTAGAGGCCTCTGGTCTGGGAACCAGGCCAGGTTGGGTCAGGCAGACAGCTTGATGTGAGGGTAAGAGGTTAGGAGTGCAAAGGTTCAGAAAGAATAGTTGGAAATGTGTGTGTGTGTGTGTGTGTGTGGTGTTGGAATCCAGAGAGCATGATTAAGATCTAGGCCTGGGGTGTCTGCAGTACCCCAGATGGGCAGATTGATGAATCACAGCATGTGGGCAGAACCAGAGACTAAGCTTACAGGTACAATCCAAAGTGAGCTTGAAGGAATAAGCAAAGAACTTATCCTCTAAGTTCTGTAAGATGAGGAACCATAGCACAGTGTCAGTACACATGGGAAGACATACCCAGCACCTGAATTTCTTGTGGTCTTTGAGGTTGGGCCATTTGTTCCCTGGTGGCTAGTGATTAAGGCATTGATGCCCTGTGGGTTCCTTACAATTCTAGCATCTGTTTGTTTCTTAAGTAGCTTAGCTGGTCCTTAAACTTGTGCCTGTGGCAGGACACCTGCATGTCATGGTGCTCTTTATGAAATCTCATAAAGTATTGCTATGACAAAATATGTAATTTTGTGCTAAATCAGATATCACCTTATTTGGATTCTTGTACAGACATGTAGTAATATGTGTTAAAGATTTAAGAAGAACTTGAGATTAAAACTCAAAAAATAAGAAAACATGCATTATCTGGGTTTTTGTTTTGTGAAAATGGAAAAAACATAATCTTTTCATCTTTCATTAGTGGAATACTTTGATTTAACTTGTATAACACTGGGGTTCTGTGTGAGTAAACGTCAAGAACACTTAGAATGGTGCAGTCCTTTTTCTTAAAGAAAAGCTTTTAATTGCAATATAATATATTTACGTGTTACATATATTTACATATCCATATTACTGTGGATATATAGTTACGATAAATCCATAGTTCACCCCCTGCACTGTATGGATCTATGTACTGCTCAAACTGCCTTTAGAAAGAACTCATTTTCCAGTTGTAAGGAGTGTGGTCAGCTGACAGCTTCTCATTGTTCCTTCCTTCAGGTCTGCTTTTGAGCTGCTCTTCTCAAGGTGGCCCCAGCCAAGACCAGGTAAGGCTTTTTACAAAGGCTTAGTCATTTCTACCTACCATGGAATCCCTCCAATGAACAACTTTTGCTGTGGAGCTCCGAATGAGCTGGTAGATTCTTTGCCAGCTCTGCCTGATGGTCTGACAGCTCTTCCTGCCAGTCCTACTTCTTCCCTTTTCCTCACCAATGTGACTCTCTAATAAACCTTTTGCACCCTCTCTCCACCTCGGCACCTGCTTCTGACCCAGCTGACGGACAGGTGCACATATCACAAGTGTACAGCTTGATGCATTTTTATAAAGTGAACACACTCATGTAACCAGCACATTATGAAGAAGATTATAAACAGCACTCTAGAAGTCTCCTTGTGCTACCTGCCTTCCAGTCATTACCCCGCTTCTAAGGGTAACCACGATCCTAACTCTTTAACATCCTGGATTAGTTTGTCCTGGTATTGTACTTCATGTAAATGAAATTTTAGTGTATCTCTTTTGTTTGACTTCTTTTGCTCAAGATTATGCATTCATTTAAATTCTTTTAAGTACATAATAGTTGAGGTCTAAGTTTTCAAGTGAATGTTTGTACTTTTTCCTCTTTCCACTCTGTTTACTTTCTCTGTCTCTTTGTTTCTCTGTCTCTGTCTCTCTTACACACACACACACACACACACACACACACACACACACACACACACACACACACACACACACACACACACACACACACACACACACACCCCACACAGAAAACAGTGAATCTTTTCCAGTTCAATTTCCAATCTGATGTAGAATATATGTGTGACAATAGTAAAAATTTCATAGTATGTTCAAAATACTAAATTAGCAAAATTAAGGTAGGCTGGAATTGTCCATGCCTCTATTTGTCTCAAGCTTACCAGGTTTCTCTAGTTTAGCTTCCACTAGATCTGAGTCATGAGAGATAGATCACCTTTCAATACTATTCCAGAGGACAGTGACTGGTTTCAAATGACTACCGATGGACCATTGATACTGCACCTATGTTAAGCAGATCTTTCCTGAGTTTTAGTTTAATCAGTTCCCCAGCTCTGCCCTAGAGAAGTGGGGATCTTATTACACAATCTTTTTTTGTTCAATTCTAAAGACATTTCTTTGCTCATTAACTGCCTCCTGGTTCAATAGCTTCTAGAAAAACTCCTCTTTCCCAAGTTGCTTGATGGTCTAGGATTTCACTATATGTCTTGAAAGAATTTCCACCTCTTGATTCTTACTCCCTACCCAATTTAGGAGCATTCTTGAAAATAATAAAAGGAAATTTAAAGGCATTTCTCCTACTTGAGTATGTGCACTTATGTATATTATAGAGTCCTCTGGTGAGAGGACATCTTCCAAGGTGTTTTTGTTTATAGCTCTCTTGTTGGTGGGATTATTTTCAAACCATTTTGGAAAGAGAATTCTCCATTTCTCCCTGGAGCAGAGAACATCTTGCTACAGATTGCTGTACTTTTGCATATGATTTTGTTTCAAACTCTTGAAACCAAAATGTTAGTTTAGTATAGTTAGCCTTCTCTTTCCATCCTTGCAAGCATTCCTAAATCTTCATGTTAGAAAGACAAATGAGATCAGCGTTCTTCTACCTTAGAAAATCAGTTTTTTCCTAATGCAGTGATATGTCAGTAATATTGACCAGATATAAACTCTGTATTGGCTTTCTTTGGGGAATCAAATGCTGCACTATTCAGAGTAAACTTCAATAGAATGAATTGAATTCATATAAAAGCCTTTTATGTTTATATGTTTAAAAATCTAAATAGTGACTCTAAAGAGAGGGGTAAATGATGTGAATTTCTTCCCAAGATTTTAAAAGGTTTCTGTTTTTATGACTCACACTAGAAGTAGAGTCTGTTATGAAGTGGATTATGTGTGAATCTAGGTAATTTCTTTGAGATCTGATCTGTGAGCAACAATGAAGTTTCATAGCCTTTAGCAGGGTTATAGTTAATTAAATGTAGAATCTTACTATTTTAGAACTATAAATGACCTTAAAAATAATCTAAGGTAACTGCCCCTCCCTTTGCACACCTTCACAGATGGGGAAGCTGACACAGAGAACTGGGAAACAACTGACCATGTCACCCAGCTGACAGATCTGGGGCTTTTCATATTGTCCACACTTTAGGGACTCTGGCTAGCCTGGACAATTGTTTTCCAGAGGTTGTTAGTGTTGTAACCTTGAATTTACATATTTTCAGTAAAGAAATGACTGACATCCAAGGGTCATCTCATTTACCTCAACACTTAATGTTATTCTAACCTATTCTAACAAGTTTCTCAGTCAATGTCCATAAACATGCATTTAAAAAATCCAAACTGTGCTGGATGAACCAGATTTAGGCCCTGCCTTCAGGGAGTGGAGAATCAAGAGGAGTTGTGATGATCACAACACCACGTGAAGAGTGTGATGATAGACGAAAGTTACAGAGGGACCATTAACCCCAACTTGAAGGGGGCCTGAGGAAACAGGAGCGGACGAGAGCACTTCAAGGAATGGGCAGAGTTGCCGGGTTCAAGAGTCACACCTGTGAGTCTACAGGGAAAAGTGATTTTAAATTTACCGAGGAGAAAACCGGAAGGGAAAACAACAGAAGTGGAGAACTTGATCTAAGGTTAAGAAAACCAATAAGCTCTGGATGGGAAGTCTGGAAACCCAGATTGTCTTCCTGGCCCTGCTGGTAACTGGCTGTACGACCTGGGCACGTCACATAACCTCTCTTGACCCCGGGTTCTTCACCTGAACAATAAGGACTGTGGGGTGATATCCAGAGTTCCTCAGACTCTAACATCTGAGGATTCTATCAGTCTAGGTAGCTTTATGCACTTATGCTTACTACTTGAGGACATGTAATAAATAAAATTTCTGAATTCTATCCCATCCTGATCAGAATTAGATTACTAATTAATAAAACTGATTTAGAGAGGCATAGGCAATGCAGACTTTCCACTGTCTTCCTTACCTTTTCTAAGGGGAAGGAGAATAAATATTTATAATTTATTGTGTTTCAGGTATTTTATTTAACCATTAAAATAATATTGCAGGCTAGGGATTACTATTTTCATTTTACAAATGAGGAAAGTGGGGCCCACAGAATTTAAGTCATTTGCTCTTCCATACACATTAACAGTGGTGCTGCTGGGATTTGAACCCAAGTCCATATACATTAATCCACTCAAACAAGTTCAAGAAAGAAGCACTTTATGTAAGAATTAACATGGATCTTCACGGAATTCCACGAGTACAGCTAGAAAAGGACCAGGACCTCACAAAGTCCAGAACTCTAGGGCATTTCTGGATCCAAGGTAGCCCTTATGACCCAAGGACCAGGAGTCTATGATCCTTACTCTGGTGTTCCATCAGTGATGTGATTTGACCAACAGTCAGGGTATCTATTTATCTTTGTCTCTGATTATGACTAGCTCCAAAGCACTTATTCTTTTCATCTACTTTATCCTTTAAAAAATTCATAGTGTTTGATTTCTCATAGTTTTGGCTTAATCATAGCTTCAGCTTGCCAAGATCCCTCGCAGCTCCTACTCTACCTCCCTCTCATAACCCCTACGCTACTTCATGGCTGCCTTTTCTACATTCTTTAAATTTCCACTCTTTCTCCTAATTGCCTACATTACTCCATGTGTCCCAAACAAAATTACCAAGGAACTGGCCCAGCTCATCTTTTGTGTGAGCAATGTGAAACACAAACCTCTGAGCACACCCAGATCAACAGTGGGCACCTGACTCAGAGAAGACAATTCAGTGGCTAACCAATGACTTATGACAGAGCTTGGAATGAAAATACTAGTAAGACTTATAATTCGTTGCCTGAAAGCTTATTTTTTTGGGGAGGAAGTCTATGGGAGTCCACTCAATATGTTAACAAGTAAGCTGACAGAACAAGAGAATTAATGCCCCCCAAAGCAGCGCTCAACCAAAGATGAATGGGGATTGACAGACATGTTCCTGAGTTGCTCCTGCTGGAGCACTTCTAGTTGCTGAGAGTAGTAAATGACTTGATAAAGCACCCCATTTTGGCTCCCTTCCCTTCCCTGATTAATTTCCCACCCCCTATTGGCAGTTCCTGGGATCACCTCCTAAGTGTACTGTTTGTATTTTAATCCTTGACCCAGGTTCTATTTCTGGGGGAACCCAAACCAAGATCCTTCCCTGTTGTGTGTGTGGGGTACACATCAATTAACATCTAATAGGTCCTGAGAAATGTTGATCCAAGGTACACGGGAGCTAGGAAAAATGACCTTTATCTCAAACTAGTTGAATTTCCTGAGACTTGTTGATAGCCAAATGAATAGCTCAAGTATTTTTGATTCAAGGTGTTATTCACTGGGAATAATTTGACATATATGAGGATCCTTGAATCTTAGATGTGTAACCATTCCATTTTTATTTTGCCTCTTTGTTACTCTCACTGAAACAGTTTACATTGTATTCTTTTGTATCTTCTTACACATCTCACAAGGAAGACATAGTAGAGCATTTTTCTCAGCATGACTGTAAATCCTGGTTGTGCTTTTGAGCTGGATCATTTTAGGTGTCATTTTGGGGACTCTATGAGTTACCGCAAACATCTTTGTGATGTTAACAGAAGCAGAGACACAGTTTGGTCTGTCAGTATAAGAACTTTCTCCATTTTAAGATTTAGAAGCATAATGGTTTTCCAAGACTACATTTATTATACAAAGCTTTTAACTAATAGATTTCTGACCATTTCATTATTCTGATCTCTGAATTTTTAATCACATGTTATTATTAAAATACTGAGATGATTCAGGACAGGAGTGAATTTGGAGAGAGGAGACCTAAATTTGTTTCCTGACTTCAACAGTTACCAGTATGACCTCAGGTGATGAATCAACTTTTCTGAGTCTTAGTTTCACTACCTGTACAGTGGAAATATTATCTACCTCACAGATACCTCGAAGCTCGCTGTGAGGATTAAATAAACTTGGATGCAAGGGAGAGTGCTTTGTAAA